TGCAGTCTGATGTCTGTGTGTCTATTTCTAGATGTTATCGTCATACACTTACTGAACACTGTTCACATTTCACCACACTTCCCTAAGTACATACACCCTGTTTCAAGTCCATCAATATGGCTGCTGCTGCTGCCAGGAATGAGGGCATCACCCATGAGAGACAGTGGCAGAAGTCTGGGTGGAAACATCCCATATTGTTTGAAGTGTTGGCAAGGAAACATTCCTGTTCCATCTCACAACAATGCCAGTCACTTCGAAGTAGCGTCTTGGGTGGAGTTTGGTTCATCATAGAGCACAAAAACTAGAACTTGGGCATTCATCTCACCTGTTTAGGATTCACTGGGGTCAAAGATGAATAAGGAGACATCAATTGGAGAAAATCAAAGATGGCTGCCAGGTAGCCATATTGAACATGATAACTTAATTTAAAACATCTATAATGGCAAAAAAATCCACATTAATTTAGAACCCTGTACAAAAGTGTATTTCAAAGGTGCAGAAATTGGATCATGTAAATACAAACTATTGTGTCAACATGTCACGGAAATTTGTCCCCAAAATACACTTTCAGAATTTGTCAAACAATGGCAAAATAACAGAACAGTTCTAGAATCATCCCAAGAGCCAGTTATTTTGTACAGGAAATTCCATCTTCCTTAGCTGAATATCAAGCCCCATGGGTCCATAACTCAGTTCACAATACTTCATTACGCTACAACGATATTCAAAAATACAGACAGAAAGGAAACCATTACATATTATCTTCATAAAGACACAAAGCATCCCATGCTTGCTGTTAAAGGCAACTATGCTTGTCGTTAAAGACGACTAACGGGATCGGGTGGTCAGGCTCGCTGACTTGGTTGATGCATGTCATCGATCCCAATTGCATGGATTGATGCTCATATCAATCACTGGATTGTCTGGTCCGGACTCGATTATTTACAGATCACCGTCTTATAGCTGGAATATTGCTGAAGGTGGCGTTAAACAACAAACCAACCAACCAACCAATCATAAAAGACACTTTTCAAACATAGATTCACACATTAGAGCAGGAAGCTTAACTCATCAAATACGGTAAGAGCACAGCATAAATAACTGTAAATGTAAGACCAGCATTATTAACCGTCTCTGCATTATTAGGTTAAGAAAAAACAAAAGGCATGAAAAACATGCCTGCAGCCATGTAATGAACTGAAGAATAGTACGGACAAACACTGCATTCTGAGACAGACCGTAATACAATCAGTTAGCCGAGATGCTCACAACAAGAACACAAGTGGCTATATTGTGTTATAATGATACTGCAGCAGGAACTCGTTCCTCCATACTGCTACAAATATTTACACACCACACCAGAAAACCAGACCCTCTGCCAAGCAGGTTAATGCTCCAAGTATCACAAGTTTTAACACTTTTATCAGGAAACTTTACCACACCCTTCTTAAAAGATTGGGTGATTAGCTGCATTGATCTGTTTGCCAATGGCGCAGATGTGCATCATTAAACAGTAAAGTGAGCAGCCATTACATCAGCATGCTGACCTGGTTTAAACTGAATACCAAAATAATATTTGTATCTGTCTTTTACAGTCTGTATGTTAAAAGAGGTGGCTTCAAAAAGCAAGAAACGACCTAACAAATATGCTACAATGTCTCTAATTTCGAGAAGTATTTGGCTACTTAGTACCTCATAATTTTATTGAAAAGGCATAAAATTTGAAGTTACACAAATAAAAGCGACAAAACACTTTCCACGATCTTAAGAAATCTCTGCTCAGTGCAAAGTCGATTGTATGATTCCAACTGTATCATGAGCATGTGTTTATGAATCATTATCAAATAGTTTATCATAGGGGTGTAACAATACATCGGTGCGCCAGTCCATCTTAAGTTTTCATGTGATGTTACGATAAACGATACACTTTTTACTTACTACTCGTTTAATGACACCCTCCACCCCCAGCAATTTTAGTCAGTCAAATATTGCAAAATATGTTGTAGTTATCATTCCAAGTTCACCACTAAAAAAAGACACAACAAATATTTATCTACAGCTAGCTTTTCCATATGATCTTGCACTGAAATATTTATAGTAAAATAGTTTCCACATGATTTGACGTAAATATGTGTATTGTGATACGTATTGTATTGTGGCCTTTGTATCATGATACATATCATATTCTGACCTTGCTGTATCGTTTCAGCCCTAGACTATTACATTAACCACGGAATGAAAGCAACGAATTTTGTGACTGGTGAAAAGTCATCCTGCGGCTATGATGCTGAATCATGCCAGCAACTAGACCAGACCTTAGCCCTCTGAGGTAATCCAGAGTCTATGATGTGTAAATCACAGTGCATGAGAGGAGGCTGGCATGATGATATAAAGTGTGTCATCCTCTATGGTTAACTCCCTGGATGATAACAGTGTTATTCCCTCTGAGGCAAGGCAGGGTCGCAGCACCAAGAGCAGGAGCCCTTGTAAAGGCCAGGGGGGTGGGTTATGAGTGCGTAGCTACCTATTAAACAGGCCCTGGGGATTACAGGGGATATTGTGCAGCTGTTTGATGTGGCAGGAACAACTGGTTATGCTTTGTCCTCCAGACTGAAGATAGAGTATACAATGTTATAGAGAGTGGAAACAGCTTCACAAATAGGAAGCAAAATGTCCGATCCTGGAAACTTTCCTGTGTATGTGTACAGGCCAAATGGACTGTGCTAGGCAAGATAAACAAATTAAAGTTTATCATGCATAAGAGTTATTTAGTCTTGAAGTTGTGTGTCCCTTGTGGGACAATTCATCACTATCTCTGAGTGAATGATTGATTGATTGTTTGACTCAGCACTCAGCAATATTCCAACTATATGACGGTGGTCTGTAAATAAATGAGTCTGGACCAGACAATCCAATGATTGACATCATGAGCGTTGATCCACCCAATTGGGATACGATGACATGCATCAAGCAAGTCAGCGAGCCTGACCACCTGAGTGAGTGAGTGAGTGAGTGAGTGAGTGAGTGAGTGAGCGAGTGAGCAAGCTAGCTTTGTCACATCCACAATCATACATACCATATTGTCAAACCTCACAAAGTGCTCTGTGTTAAAGGATGAGAGTTGCGACAAAAGATTGCCTCGTTGAAAGAGGCCAGGTGATTGTCAAACATTACGACCAGCATAACCAGAATCCCCCAAGGGTGAAGGACTTTAGTGTGCCCTAAGCTAATCTAGTGGTGCTGTAACCATCCTTTGTAAAAGTTGTGTGGCTTTTGATCACCTCAAATGCAGCAAATGCAGCTTGAACACCTCAAACTCTAGCAAGCAGAAGCTCTAACATATAACTGCTGGCAACATCGTTACAAACAATCAGCATATACATGTCCTATATCACACAGACTGCATCTGCAAAGTGACAACAGTGTGTCAAAAAGAAAGCCTTATTCCCACTGCAGGAATTATAAACACAGCATGTTTTGTATCTCCTGATGCAGGGTGACTAGCAACATTGTTGGGATTCTGCCAGACATGTCGGTTCTAACCTACAGGCTTGCACTAGATGCAGAACGCTTTCAGACATTGATGATGACGATGATGATGATAAACAAGGCGGATGTGGCAAAGAAGCTTAAAGGGGTACAATGCTCCACAATCGGGCGCTCATTTCCGAGCGAGCGTACGTGCATGCGTGAGAGAGAGCTTAATGCTACTTTATTCTTAGTATTTCAGTTGTGTCAGCACAGTCGGAGGAAAGATATGCATAATACTATACATTACAACACTGCTGTCACATGTGAACACTAGTTAGAGGGTGTAAAATCACTAAGCCGATGTGCTTATTTTATTATGTGTATATATTAATATTACCTAGCTTCGTTTGAACCATACATGTCACAATATAGAATAACGTCCCCTGACATCAGACATACTGTTTCTATACTAACACACTCATGACTGACCAACCAAACATTCTCCTTCAAATGCATTATGGGCCATATCCATACCAGGTGAGGTGAAGTGAGGTGAAATTGGGTTTAACGTCGCGTCCAAGATTATTGCACTTATATAGCGACGTGCATGCACGTGTATGTGTGTGTGTGAATATCCATACCAGGTATCACACAGCCGGTAATGCCCACTGACTGACGATGCAGCCACAGTAACGACGTGGGAGCTCTGCCAAACCCAATCAACATGCAACAGGGTATGTCAGACTTGGTATGTCACCAATGTAGACAAATAGTAAGTGTGACATACCACACTGACAGCTTATGGAGGCTGGAGCAGGCTGGAGGGAAGCTAGGGTTGGCTGACGGGGAGACTGGAGTAGGCTTGGGGGAGGCTGAGGGGAGGCTGAGGGGAGGCTGGAATAGGCTTGGGGGAGGCTGGAGGAGGCTGAGGGGGAGGCTGGATTAGGCTTGGGGGAGGCTGATGGGAGGCTAGGGTTGGCTGAGGGGGAGGCTGGAGTATGCTTGGGAGATGTGTGAGCGAGTAAGTGAGTGAGGTTAAGGGCTTTAACGACTAAGCTTCCCATCATCCTTTCTAGGAAAAAAACCCAGGAAAGCTGATCTTGGCACAACAAGGGGAAGCAACTCCATAAACTTATTACATCAGTACACAGTATTTCACTGACCAATGGTAACTTGGTCAAGATAAAGTCATGTTAAGACACGACGAAAAACATTAACATTTCCACAACAAAGTGAAACCTTACTCTTTACAACACTGCAGCTCTTCAATCTCAGTTTTTATCCCGACCTCCACAAGTGCAATAACACAAGTACACCCAGGTTGAGCTGTGTGTGTTCAGCTGACAATCATACGACCTTCCAACAACTACGGCCTGGAAACATCCTCGCCTTCTCTCACAACTTGAAGCAGCACTCCTCTTTGATGCAACTCCGTTATCCCAATCTACCATGTCTCTCTATTCAGGAAGTTGTGACACACCTACCCAACACGTCTATATTATGACAACAAGAGTTCTCTTTCAACCTACCTGTTTGGCCGTTCATGTTGGAGTCACTGGCTGACCTCTTAGCACTATCTTGAGGTTTCCTTGGTCGAGGATAAGTGCTTGTCCCATTCAACTCATCCTCTGAAATATCCAGAGCAACTGTTTAGAACAAGAACAAGAACAATGTAACGATAGTAAAGTTCATATTAACACACACATTGTTGCATCTGAAACCCACGAGCATGTTGCTGACAAACCTAGAAACATAATTAGGGCGAACCAGGATTCGAACCCACAATCATATGTTCCTGGCGTGCCCAAGGGATGCAAATCTGCACAGCGAACCGCAGCGCCTTAGACGACTGGGCCACCCGTGTCCCCAGTGCCATAGTGAACAGGGATTAAATCACAATCCACACATCAGTTTCACCTGCGCCTCCTACTGCATACAACAAAATTTGAAACAAAAACTTGTCTTTCCACTTTTCATTATTCAAAGACTATGTGACGGCTGGTCCATGTCTAACCCTCCTGCAAACATTTATTTCACCAATATGGTAAAACCCTGTCTGGACCCCGTTACCCTGGACAACAATGTCCAGATTAAAGAGGTTGAACTGTAGTACATGACAAGAGGCTTAAGTACCTGTTTTGAATATTTAAAGTGTGTCTTAAAGGATACAATCAACTTTTTTCCATTTAAAAAAACATCACTCAAATTCTACATTTCAAAAAATAATTATGATAATGATGAAAAATATTGTTTAAAACTCCACCAGCGGTCTCTGCACATGGCTTTGAGTTATAACGTAATTCAAATGCAGTTAAAAATAATTGATTTTCATGCCATTTAATTCCTGAATATATGCTTTCAGAGATGACCATTTTGTTATTACCTTTTTTAGCTGTGGAGACAGGATTGTCATACTGGGTGCGGCGGTTGACGTGGCTGAAATATACAACAGTGTGGTCAGCTCCACCATCGGGTCATCGCTGCAAGCATGACTCATGAACAGCTGATCAATATGACTTCATATGCTCATCAACATGGCATCAGTAGCGGATCATTAACATCAGCTTCAATTAAACACTACCAAGCTCCAGCAATCTAGCAATGAAACTCTTAATCACTGTCACCAATACTTAATGAGATGACGGCGGTTGATGGCATTTTTCCTGAGTTAATAATACAAATCATGTTTGTTTATGACGTTCAGTTTTTAACTCCATACCTGTGGTAACAATGTTAACAGATGATTGTTTAATTAACCAAGCATTCTCAAGCTGTCAATATTCATCAAAGCTTGTATCATCATGGGAAAAGTGTGTGTTCAATAAACAGACAATTCTGTACAGACAGACTGATTGTCACAAGGGAAAGAGAACTTACTTTCAGGAACAAAGGCTTTTGGGTGCAACTTTGTAAAACATAAAATAACTATAACATCATACAGACACAATTATATCAAGAAAATATTGACATTTATATTTTGTGATGAAATACTATAATTATATGAAAATATAAATTGATATTGAACTCAAGAGTACTACTTTATAAGGATATCTGATGAGATTAACATGTTGTTTGACTAAAAAAGCTAAATATCCTCAATACTTTCTACATGTTTGAGGGAGCATAGTGTTATGTTGTTGTCAGTCAGTGAGTGAGTTTGGTTTAACGCCGCTTTTAACAGTATTCCAGTTATATCACGGTGTGTCAGCTTAATGTGGGAGGAAAGCCCGAAGTGATGCAGGTCTCAGACGTTTACCACTTCGGTGAAACCCACGAGTGCGGGTATGGTGCTGACAAACCTAGAAACATAATCGGGGCGAACCGGGATCCGAACCCACAATCATAGGTTTCTGGCGTGATTAAGGGACGCAACTCTGCAGAGCGAAACGCGGCACCTTAGACGACTGGGCCACCCGTTCCCCCTGTTGTTGTCAGTGATATCCCTGCAATAGCACACAGGGACTCAAGGAGGGGCTTCACACATTGTACCCATGTCGGGAATCGAACCAGGGTCTTCGGCTCGACGAGCGAACGCTTTAACCACTAGGCTACCCGACCGCCCCTCCCTGCAATAGCACACAGGGACTCAAGGAGGGGCTTCACACATTGTACCCATGAGAGAAATCGATCCCGAGTATCACCAAGACTTAACCACTTAAAACTATAATAGAGCCTACATGTCGTCGTTGTTGTTGGTTTGTTGTTTAACGCCTCACTCAACAATATCCCAGCTATATGACGGTGGTCTGTAAATAACTGAGTCTGGACCAGACAATCCAGTGATTGAATTCATGAGCATTGATCCACATAACTCGCATACAATAACATGATTCAACCAAGTCAGCAAGCCTGACCACCCAATCCGTGTTTCACCTCTTACGACAAGCATAGTCGGTTTTTTTCTTCAGCAAACATCTGTTGCTGAAGAGCAAGTGAGTGAGTGAGTATGGTTTTACACCGCTTTTAGCAATATTCCAGCAATATCACGGCGGGGGACACCAGAAATGGGCTTCACACATTGTACCCATGTTGGGAATCGAACCCTGGTCTTCGGCGTGAAGAGCGAACGCTTAAACCACTAGGCTACCCGACCGCCCCGTGTTGCTGAAGACATATTCCTCCCTGGATCTTCACGGGTCGAGAGACCAGGTAGTGTAAATCCATAGAACATAGTAGGTACATAGGGGGAGCCACATGTTGCCTGGAGAGAATTCAAACCTCTTCTTTCAAATATTTGGCCCAGAATCTCATTTGAGTAACACCCTGTGAAGATTTTGGTTAGAACTGATCTTAGCAACCCATGATCATCACAAGGGGTTGATGTTCATGACGTCAATCACAGGATTGTCTGGTCCAAACTCGATTATTTACAGACCGAAGTCATATAGCTGGAATTTTTCTGAGAGCGGCTTTAAACAAGAAACGAACATAAAAGTTACAATTTTGACCATCTCCATGCTACACCACTGACTTGCTTTTGTATGTGTTTATGTTCTTGCAGAATTCCCTCAGCATGTAACCATTACTTCATTAAACTCTCGTTCAAGTCTATTTTCAAGTTTTAAGTCACTGTGACTTGTCACTCCTGATTTACGTCGACTGATGGTATTGTTTGTTTGCTGTTTAACACCACACTGAGCGATATTCCAGCCACATGATGGCTGCCTTAAAGAATCAAGTCCAGAGAATCCAGGGACTGTACTTGACCAAATCTCCTATAACACCAAGCACCCTGTGATGTCCCATCTGACCTGTGAAGATCCAGAATAGGTTTTAAACAACCTATGCTTGCCGTTAAAGGCGCCTGTTCTTGTCATAAGAGGCGACTAACAGGATCAAGTTGTCAGACTCGCTGACTTGGTTGATGAATGTCATCATATCCAAACTGCGGTGATCGATGCTCATGATGTCAATCACTGAATTGTCAGGTCCAGACTCGATTATTTACAGACCGCCATCATATAGCAGGAATATTGCTGAGTGTTGCGTTAAACAACAAACAAACAAACAAATGAAGTCCCATTTAATTAACCTCATCCCACACCTATTATCTCAGTGTTACTGTCTCTTGTGATTTAAATTAATTGACACCAACACCTAGATGTCGTCAACATTTGCCTGTTTTCCAAAGAGTGATGGCTGCTAATTCAGTAATCCCCTCTCAACGTCCCACCTCCCCACCACCCTCATCTCCATCCTTCCACCTCTCCTCCACCGTGACACATCTTGTGTCAAACACCTCAGCACATCAGACTCTCGCTACAAAGCAGCACAATTCCCCCTGGCCACTTCTCATCCTTTGATGAATGCAATGAAATTAAACCAGTTAAAAAGCCCCAGAATTAATTAAGAAATAGTCCTGCTTTGAAATCCAGCGAAATGTCAGTACCAAGGGGCACTTCTCAGTCATAGTCAGATCAATTAGTTCACCCCGCCCCGAGCTCTGTCTTCACACAAATTATCCGGCAATAAAATGCACGGTTGACAGATGTGTCACAACTAAACATTGCATGTTCCAATTTACTGTAATTAAATAACCTCATGATTTCCTTGTATTAGTTTACGTGTTCCACTCTACTGAAACTAAGTACATGCATGGCCTTCCTTGTATTGGTGGACGCTGATGTGATCGGATTATGTTTCTTTGATGTTTGTGCACGTCTCATGATGTTACAACACCTATGAAGGACAAAACCCCAGTGGATTCATACTTCTGAACTAGAAACAACTTGCCAATATTAGGCCACACTTTCTAAATTTATGTTTCACGGTTGGTTTGTTTGTTGTTTAATGCCGCACTCGGCAATATTCCAGCCATATGATGGCGGACTGTAAATAATCAAGTCTGGACCAGACAATCCAGTAATTAATATCATGATCACCGATCCATGTAATTGGGATCGATGACATGCATCAACCTAGTCAGCGAGCCTGACCACCCAATCCCCTAGTCGCCTCTTACAACAAGCATAGTCGCCTTTTAAGGCAAGCATGGGTTGTTTAAGACCTATTCTACCCCGGATCTTCACAGGTCTTATTTCTTCACAGATTTATTCCAGCTTGTCCACACAAGGTCGGTCGAAATAAAATTTAAAAAAATTAGCTATGTCAATCATCTATTTATTTATATGAAAGTCATTCTGCTGGGGAGTTAAAACTGCAGCTGGCTTTTGGAACATGGAACTGATATATAACATTTTGTATTTTATGAGAGAATCTATATTATGGGCGGGAGACATAATAAAATTAAAAAAATTATGTTTCATTTATTTCTTTTCAAGCTGTTTTTCAGTAGAAACGTAAAATAAAAACTTAGTGGCAAAATGGGACTCGAACCAGTACTTGAAAAGGCCTTGCAGCACCTTCATATACAGCTGAAACTGATATCATGTGACACTTGGTGTGAGGTTGGTCAGGGAAGAATCCAAAGAAAAATAAATGGAGGTAATTTTAAATTAACTTTTTTTGTTTTCGGTTTTCTTCTCAGTAGATAAAAAAACCCAGATAAACTTTTCAATAATAATAAATTCAACAAAGATAATTACATGTAACTGTGTACATAGTAACATCCTGCATCTTTGATAGTTGGTAGTTTTTTGTCTCTTAGAATATGTCCCATAGTGTATAAATACAGATGTAGACTCTATGAAATATGTTCCCTAGGGTAAAAATACACATATACTCACTATGAAATATGTCCCATAGTGTGTAAATCAGATATACTCTCTCTATGAAATATGTCCCATAGTGTAAACATACACATATACTCACTATGAAATACGTCCCATAGTGTGTAAATCAGATATACTCACTCTATGAAATATGTCCAATAGTATGTCAATCAGATATACTCTCCCTATGACATACATCCCACAGTGTATAAATCAGATATACTCACTCTATTAAATATGTCCCATAGTGTATAAATCAGATATACTCACTCTATGAAATAAGTCCCATAGTGTATAAATCAGATATACTCACTCTATGAAATATGTCCCATAGTGGGGGTCCTCCACCTTCTCCCAGCCAAACGGAAGTTCTGAAACACGGAACACCATATTTAGGAACTGATGCTGGGTTAAACCACAAGGAAAATCCAGATATTGATCCCAAACAGGAAACATATCACAATATGTGTTACAATACATGTCACACAGATACGAGAGCCTCGAAACACTTCCAACAAAATGAAGCACTCAGAAACTCCAATCTCTTATATATCTCAACAAAACATTATCGAACGCAAGGAATCTATCAGCATGGAAAATGATCACAACATAATAGTGCACTTCATAATTACTCGACAAAATTGAAAGACGGCAAAGCCATGTGCTGCATGGGTATGTTGAACGCTGCCAATATTTCCCAGCAGGCACGTGGAACTAATCAGGCGAGGTGGTCACGAAGGGTCCGGTTCAATTCCTCAATGACCCCTGCTGTTTTGTGGCAGGAACATTAATAAAGGATGCATCAAGCCCATAAAACATACCATTAATCTCTCACAGAACACTGGAGATTTGACGTAAGCGATCACCGATAATCACAGTCCTAATACACTGTAACACATACAGAGGTATCACCACGCCTTCTGAAGGCTCATCAATACCATTCCACAAGTCTAAAAGTGAAGTCGAAGCATTTGGATCTTAAACTGACAATGTCCCCATTATCCACAGAATAAAATGAAGTGCTGAATACATTCAATACAGTCAGGCATTTCATCACAACCTGAAAGCAAGTTTTGTAGTTCAGCAGTCAGATCGTAACAAGTGTTATTACAGTGATATTTTCAAGAACACACGTCCCTTATAAAAGCACACATCCTAAAAACTAACACACGTCCCTAACACCAACACACACCCCTACATGAACACAAGTAGTTTACACTTGCAGTTTTCTAAGTTAATTGGTCTACTGGTAAGTACGCTTAACCTTTGTCAATAATTAACAAGCACAAATACTTCTATTACTCCAAGTTTGATTACAGCATGTTTTATTCATGGATAAGGAGAGGTACAGTCATAAAGACTCCATAACGACTCCAAGATAGACTGTACGTTGGGATCACATGGCATACTGAATACATGGCATTCAAATATTGTACTCCAAGTTGGGGGAGGAGTCCTTGCATCTTGCATCAACCACAAAGTAGTGGTCAGCTTTATTTACTGGCAGATGCAAGTTGACACAAGTCATTAATCACGAACAGGTAAATATGGTCACCCATATAGGGAAGTGAACTCAGACTTAAGGCGCAGCAAGCCAGCACATGTCCCACAGACATTACCACAACAGCATGAAGAATAATAACTGCCTGCAAATACTCTAATTAAACATAACACGAAACCACACAGATACCTAAATTACTGATCTATAATGAGCAGTAACAGTTATCAAAATATAAATATATATGCCTTGAATTAAATAAATAATTAATGCAAGATTTCATGACTAACTGGTAAAAGTAGACTAGAATGTGAATCCTTTCCAAACAAAAATGAACTACATAACTCCAGAAGCAGTGAACCACTGCCCTAATTCAAAAAGGACAACAGAAGGACAAGACAAGGTAACAAATAGGATGGACACCTGTCTCCTGCGATCCCTTCTCCACTGCAAACATCCAACAACTTGTATGAAGCTTATACAACCTCAGGTGGCCCACGGCCATGATGAAAGCCCGGCCTCCACCTCCTCCTCGTTGTTGTTGTTGTGAGCGTGCAACACCTACGTGAGTGGACTACTCGACAGAGAGCGGCAATGGTTTTTGTGCATGTCAGCTTCCCATCGCCAGGCGATCATTTACCTGGCTAAACGCATTAGGTCGCAGGAAACAAAGCCATATACACTTGTCACCACTACACTTACCCGAATCTACCAGTAGCCATATCTACAGGTCCTAACAGTCTGCCGGGAATAATGAGGTGAAAGCATATCAGCCTGGAAGGAGTTATTGCAGCGTTTGACACACGGATCATGTTATCACCTCCACACTCCTACCATTAATATGGTTAATTGTTGATTTCAAGAAATTAACGTTTCATAAATCATGTCCGTGGATATTAACTTACATCCAAGCAGTAGTTGTTCTGATTAAGATGAACCATTTTGAAAATCATAAAAGATTTTAAAAAGTTGACATTTGGAAACTTTTCTACAGAAATGTAAAGTTTAAGAAAACAAATTCTAAATAATCTAATGAATCATGGTCATGAATTAAGTTGAAATGACTTGAGTTCATGAATAAAACAGTTTCACTCAAATAAACTTCAATCACTTAAATAATATTCTTATGAAATCTATCATATTCATTACAACTCTACATCAAAGTTATCACAAACATCCAACATTCTGATAAAACACCAAAGTGTGATGTATATGTTTACAAAGATACCACATCAAAAATTAAGTTGATGTTGTAATTCACTGGAAGTGAGCAGTAGGCAGACAACCCAATCATTCTGAATCTGTAATCTGCATTACAAACAAACATGGCCGCCATGACAAACCGCTGCATGTCGGATTCTCTGCCTAGGAAAACAAGCAATACTTTGACTCTGCACCCCTATTAGCAGAACCAACGTTGAGGAAATGGAAAGCAAACACACTGCTGTAAGACTGGCCTAAACAGGTGGTAACAGGGTTTAATGGAAATGGATGGGAAACTCGATCAAATGTTGGCCATGCTGCAATGGTAATCACAAGCCTTGTGAATGAGATCTCACCAGAACCAGTCTCACCTCCATTCAGACCTTTGCTTAACTCAATATATTCATCAATTACCTAACTTATTTACTGAAACTTTCAATAATGTTCTCGTTATATTCACTTGGAACAGCATATGATAATGACACAGAAATGCTATTATATACTATTCCCCCAAATAAGACAAAACACGTTTCATTGATGAGTGATGATGTTTGTATTCATTTCAAATTAAAACTGTAAACCTGTCATAATCATTTAAGATTTGAAAGAGTTTTATTTTCTTTAATACCATTCCAACTCTATGACAGTGGCCTGTTAATAATTGAGTCTGAACCTGACAATCTAGTGACTGATATTACGAGCATCAATCTACACTGTCAAGGTACAATGACATGCAATAAACCAAGTCACCTAGTCTGACCATCAGATCTTTTAAATAGCCTTATACCACCACCATAGGTTCTTGGGGACCAATTCTAGATTAGAATCTCCAAGAGGCGATTAGGGAAAATATTCCTTTCATGGAAGTTGTTTCCCTGCTCATAAACAGATTAGATAACAAGACTACAAAGCAGAAAAAAACCTTCAGCAGTATACACTTACACCTTTAAACAAAGTGAAACATTTGCATGATGCTGACAGCTATCACATGGTGAACATATGCCCATATCTCCTCCTTGGTGTATACAGCTATAACACATAGCTTCAGTTGCAAATTGTAGGACAATAACAAAGCCTATCATGTTATTCCCAGCCATCTGAGCACAACGTTAACCTTAGCAACTCCTCAGTTTGGGACTTATTACGACACTCTGACACACAACTGTACACTGTACACTCCCGGGTGTATACAGGCTATAACAGATATAATTAGCTGCAAATTGTAGGACAAGAACAAGGCCTATCATGTTATTCCCATAATTTGAGCACAACGTGGCCTCAGCATTCCCTCAGTTTGGGACTTATTATGACATGCTTACACACAGCTTTACACTGTACACTCCAGGTATCACAACTGCCTAACAGTATGATGGAAGCATGCACCACCAAACACCACTGCACTGTGCCTTTTAGAAAACTGCCTATAGAATTTGAGGTGAGGTGAGGTGAAATTGGGTTTAACGTCGCATCCAAGATTATTGCACATATATAGCTACGTGCACAGGTGTGTGCGTGTAGCTGCTTGTACTAGTCCGGACTAATGCCGATTTATAGTGCTAGCTCACTGAGATACCATGCTGCAGTTTAACATGAATACCCCACTCAGACACAGTATATTGACTCCGAGCTGACCAGTCCTTGTTTTAGCCCCTTAATGTCGAGCGCCAGACAGGGTAACAAGTACCATCTTTTAACGTCTTTTGGTATGATGCGGCCGGCGATCGAACCCTGGACCTTCCGCTTTCCGGGCGGACGCTCTACCACAAGACCAAGGAGGTGGCCTCTATGGAATTTGAAGGAAAGGTTTGTTTGTTGTATGACGCCACACTCAGTCATGTTCTGGTCAGGATCAGACAATTCAGTGATTGATATTATGAGCAACTAACCAAAACATAACATTGATCATATGACATCAAAAACAATGAGTGAGTGAGTGAGCAAACATTGTCACATCCACAATCATACAGATATTATGGGCAACACGAGTGAGTGAGTTTGTCATGCTTCTTTTAGCAATATTCCAGCAATATCATAGCAGGGGACCCCACAAATGGGCTTCACACATTGTACCCATATCGGAAATCGAACCAGGATCCTTGGGATGACAAGCGAATGCTTTAACCACAAGGCCACCCAACTGCCCAAGCGGCATTATGAAGAACAGCAAAAACTAGAACGTGTTTTCAGAGCTCCAGATAAGCTGCGTATGTGCGTAAAATACGCATCAGAAATGCAGAAATACGCAGTAAAATAAAATCCAAGCGTATCAAATACGCAACGAACATTACAGATACGCTACAAAAATAAAACTTGTGCGTATCATCAAAATATTGTGAAAAACCCTGCGTTTTCGATTAGCAAATCAGCAACTTATTTTGAAATTATAAACGGGCATTCCGTCAACCTTCCAAAACTCCACGATGACAGTTACATCATGGTCATTTGCCATCACACTTTGTTGTGGAAGTATCGTGGTATTTTTTAGTCCTATAAAGCTCTCGAACTCACACGACACTAGTTTGCAGGGACTAGATGAATAGTGTTTTTAAATATTTAACTTAAATACCCACATGTGTAAAAACTAGTGGGTAACAGAAATTTGAATACCCAGATAGAACTACTGATACCCAATGATTTTAAAATGCATGGGTAAAATACCCACAACACCAA